AACAGTCCACGTTCTCGTCGTGCAAATCTAAAAGTCCCTTATATCATCTGTAACAAAGTATATGAGTTAATACACTTCTGGCCCCAAACAGACAATATGATGTGTTCCAGCAAAATATAAAAATAATCTCAATAATATGACTTAAACCACCTGCTCAGAAATGTGTTTTTTCAAAAAAATTACGATTTGTATTCTGAGAGCCAGAAGGGCATTAAAGAGAAGGTTGAGTTCTGGGAAGAGGTGAAAAATAATTTGTGAGCGTTATCATTGTTCTAATGCAAATGTGGAAGAACATCAGATTAGCCATGTTCCCTGAAAAGCATGGCTCTTCAAATGCCTTCATTTTCTAAATATGGCATGTAACATCGTAAAAATCGGGACAGATTTTTTTCGCCACGTGTTCGTGTAGTCCCATATACATCTTTTTGTGTACAGTGCTTGTAGGCCAAATTTCTTATCATTTTGATGATTCCAGAACCTTGCAATACACACAAATTCTTATATGCTAGATGATCAACCTTTTCTGATCAATTCCACACATTTTTTTTTCACAATGCAGTCGCATGACCAGAATTCAACTTCATCTTTAATTAACTCTGTGTCAATACACACTTTAATGTTCCATTGACTCTGCACAGTAATAAGTGGCAATGCAATCACTATACATACATATATATTCTCCACCCTTGGCTTACTGCCCAGCTATAATTCATCTTCTTTTGAAATTGTTTGACAGATATCACTTCATTGTAGTCCTCGGTATCCATTTAAAATTTTCTTGAGTTCCGTGAGAATATTTCATCTGTTCAGAGCCAGGAAGGAGTTTACTCTGTGTCAAAGTATATGCGTTAATTAATGCACTTCTAGCTCCGAATGGACTATTTATTGTTCATCTTTATTATTGCTCTGAATTATTAAAAGAACTTGCCACACTTCAGGAAAAACTAATTTTGTGGTTGCTGCAGCATCTTACTCTGTCCTTGGAATACCAATCAAATATCTCATAAATACATTCCTCATTCCTGCATTAATGTATTCATCAGCATGTGCAGGTAGTATGCTTCACGAATGCCAAATGTCCATGCCGGATGTAAATTATAAAGTCGATATCTGACTTAAAGGGATTGGGTAACTTTGCCTCAGATTCTAAAAAATATCCTGGGTTTTGGCTCATGCTGCAATTATAATTATAAACCTTTAGGTCATACATGTATGTATCCCATGACTTTTACAAGCTAATGGCCTGTCTGATTATCATGATATCTATGATTGGAATTAGAAATTTCAGAATTTGTTTTCCTGTTATAACACTACAGTCTATTGGAAAAAATGCGTATGGTAAAACCGGTCACTCAAAGATTTTTACTTTTTTGAGGCACTTCATGATCGTTTTGAAGCGCAATTCTTTTAGGGCTTCAATATTACACCATATCACAGACACTGATAACAGGTAGGGCCATGCATCTCAGATTTAACATTGTTAAACGATGCCTTTAAGGCATGCTTCAGCCAAGTTGCAAAATGGGTATCGTATGCTGCATACTCGAGTAGAATTGCAATCAAAGCAAAAAAAATGAGTTTGAAAGTGTTCTACCGGCCATTGTCCTTCTGTTAATCTTTAAGCAATTAGATACTGTTTAAAGCACTTCGAAATTGTTGTGTTGAATACAGTTTATTTGAAATTGAAATATCCACTTGGACCAAAAATGAGAAGACATGAAATTGTTTTATGAAGCCTGAAATATAGCTCCAATACCCAACTTAATGTCATTCCCCCCCCCCCCCTCCCTTAGATTTATTGCTTGAATCATGCTTGGCATTAAAAAACAAAAATTACACTTACAGCTTACATTCTCTTTGGGACATTAATACATCTTGTAATCTACAGAGAAGTCTCTCTTTCTCTCTCTCTCTCTCTCTCTCTCTCTCTGTCTCTTTCTCTCTCTCTCTCTCTCTCTTTCTCTCTTCCTCTCTCTCTCTCTCTCTCTCTCTCTCTATTTCCCTCTTTCTTAATCTCTTTCTTTCTCTCTCTGTGTCTTTATCTTTCTGTCTCTGTCTTTGTCTCTGTCACCTAATTTCTGCCTTTCTCTTTCCGAACCTATTTAAGTTATAATGGAGTTCAATCCATCTTCTGTGGCGAGCTTGTTTCCGCAATCTATATTTTACTTTATCCCCGTGCCCATTGCACATCTGTTCGCTGGCAGAGCTATTCAAATGGCATCCCGGATCTATTTCGGTCATCTTTTGAAATTCTTGCTGCGGTACACGGGCCTGGATAAGCCCATCACTCCTACTGTTGTAGATTTGATATGAAACATAAAAACTGTTGCTGTCTTGGATTTTTGCGTTAAAGGAAGTTTTGTTGAGTAGTTTGAAATGGTATTTGCTTTATAATTACCAGTGATTAAAAAGGCGACAGATTTAATGTACTTTGATCAATTTAGATTGTGCTGGTTGATTGTGTTTTCATATGTTACATCCTATATTCTGTACTGTCACCACCATTAATATCACCACCTTAAAATCACGTCTGACCTTATCACCAACACAATCATCATGACATTGCCACCACCACCACTATTACTAGTACTTTCATTGTCATCATCGTCATGATACATTATAATGATAAATAATAGATTACATTTCTTTTAGCACTCAATACAACAAGTTTCTAAGTGCTCGTCCTCATCCTTATCATCATCATCATCATCATACTTATTGTCATCATCACTATCAACACCATTCTTATTATCATTGTCATCACCATTATCATCCTCATACTTGCAACCAACATCATTTCACCATTTTTACAGCCCCTATTGCCACCACCATCATTATCACCATCACCACCACCATCACCACCACCATCACCATCAGCATCATCATCAACAACAAACAACAATGCCTCTGACACTGCAGCAGTGACGTCCATCGAACCGAACGTGGCGTAGTGCTCAACCCAGTTCCCTGATAACCCGAAAACAACCCTGTAATGTATTCTCCAGCACACCCCCTTCAAATGGGTACACAGGCCTTTATGACCTCTCCTTCACCTGTCCTGCCCATCCTATTTCCAGGTCCACCTTGTTTCCCCAAACCCCCATTAAAGGGAGCCGACACCCCCATGCATTAATTTCAATTCCATTCCTCGTTAGTAATATTCTCGCTTAACCTACATTGCCTGGGAAACTGTCTTCCAGTGTGATTTTGTGAGAGCTGCCCTCCGGTGCAATATTTTTCTTCTCGTAAACATGTTCATCTTAATTCTTGTGAAAAGATTGTAATTCATCTAGGCTGTATAAAATGACTTCCTATTTTCCAGATGATAATAAACTTGCACAGATTGTAATGCTGTAAAGTATGTCTTCTATATTCCATACAAGAAGACACTATTACATAGTAAACTAGCATGAAACTTTTATTCTTCTAGAATGAAAGTTCATCTCAGTCTGTCAAAGTTTCAATCCTTTTACTTTTAGTAACAGCATTCACAAAGTATTTATGTCACCCAGTAAACTATTCTCGGGTGCAAAATCTCCTTGAAGTAAACAAACTCTACTTGATATCACAAGAGATCTTTTGAAATGTCATTAATCTTTATAGATTGATTGAAATTTTATAAATGCATATTAAATAAGACTCTTCTTATTTATAACCTTTAACTGGACTAGACACTTAATATGCATCAATTTTAATTACATTTTTTTTTTAATTGCAGCACTCTTGCTTAATCTCCATCACTCTAAAAATTGTGACTTAGTGCAAAATATTATTGAGGTAAACTTGTTTGTCACCATCTTGCAAATCAAAGCTATCTTCCACCATCAAAGTTTCATAAAGTTATAAACATTGACCCCTTCTTACCCAAATTTCTGTGTAAAAGTGAAACAACCACCCATGATTGGCAAGTTTAAGTCTGATTTAGGAACATGAACACTTTGCCTGCAGGTGAGAAAATAGTGCCAAGAAACTGGATATAGATAGATGTCTTTAACAGGTGTATTGCATTGGGAGTACTCCCAACTAAAATATAACAATCTTAATTTTATCATGACATATATTTTAGTGGGTGTTTTACAAGAATCCTCTTTGGTATTAAAATTGATGGGCTGACATCTGACCTGAGAAATGAGCAATGCAATTTTTGTTTGTTAATTTGTATATATTTCATGATAGACTGTATGTTTAGTGACGTCAATGTTAATGACGACTGCTCCAATTAAGGCATGTATAGGAAGGTCATTTGCACCTCCCTATGTCAAATATAAATGTTCTAATCAAAGTAAGAAGTGTATTCCCAAAGACAAACAAGTTACAGACTGCCTTATGAACAATGAAGTATTAGCCTTGCATATTGTTGATGTCATATACTATTGATTATTTGACATCATTTGATAGCATCATGACGTCATGTCTCATCAAGCCATTAGAAGCTGGTGTGCAGAAATGATTCATTACAATGGATTGTTTGTATGAAGTGACAAAGGCAATCTATTTTGATATGATGAACAATGGCCTTTGTTTGCCTTGAATCGATGTAATAAGGAAATTAAATATGTATTTTTTTTCTCTCTTTCCCCCTCTCGCTTCCCCCCTCTCTCTCTCTCTCTCTCTCTCTCTCTCTCTCTCTCTCTCTCTCTCTTTCCACTCTCTTTCTGTCGCTTCTCTTTCTTTTTCCCTCCCTGTATGTCTCATCCTCAATTTCTCCTTTCTTTCTTTTCCATCTCTTTTCCTATTCTCTCTGTCTCTTTCTCTTTCTCTCTCTATCTTTCTCTTGCTCTTCCTCTTTCTCTCTCTCTCTCTCTCTCTCTCTCTTTCTCTTTCTCTCTCTCTCTATCTCTCTTTCTTTCTCTCTCTCTCTCTCTCTCTCTCTACCTTTTCTCCTCTTTCTATTTTTCTATTTCTTTCTCCCCTTCTCTTGACACCTTACTTTATCTTCTCTCTATTCCTCTCTCTCTCTCCCTATGTGTCTCATACCCCTCCCACTGTCCAGGTATGCCATGCTGCTCAATCGCTACTCCATCATTGTCATCCTCCTCATCGTTGCCGTGGTTACGGCATGCACCGTGGTGGCCGCGCTCTTCTTTGAGACGCCCGACTTCTCGGACCCCATCGCGGTAGGTAACCGGTTTTCCAGATTTTGATCGAGGGGTTAGAATCCTCCCGGAGGGAAGGGACTGGGAAAGAGTGCAGTGCCTGTGTGATGCGAATTCAAATTTTGAACAAGCCCTATCGTACATCCTTTTGAAGTCGGTGAAAGTGTGCTGCCAGAAACGATAATAGGTTGATGAGCGCAAGGCACCTGGGGATGTGGGAAGAGGAGGGGGAGGGGAGGGGGAGGAGGAGAGATCACATTATCTATTTAGAGCCAGAAGGGCATTAACCTCTATCACTTTGACGGAAGGTTAATGCCCTTTTGACTGTCAAGGGATCTTGTGCAGTCTGTAACTGGACTGCAAAAGTGGACAACAGAAGGAGAGGGCAGAAGGGCAAGTGTGATGTAACTTCAATTTTGAAGATCCGCTCCTGTGGAACCTCCATTGAAGACAAAATTTGAAAATATCTTAAACTAGGCTTCCAGATGAAGGGCTTAAAATTTAAAGGTACTGTTTGACTTTTTTAAATAGACCTGAGCAAGTTTCATCAATGACATATTTTGCTTGGAATCTATAAAAAAGCATTTGTGATATTCTGCAGAAAAATGACTGACATTTTGTTTTCTGATAAAAAGTGATTTTCATTTTGAATAAGCAATGTAACAAGAATTCTTTTTGATGCTAATATGAAGAAGAAGAACAACAAAAAATCCATAACCAGAGAGAAAATTGTAGCAATCCCTGTTGCCCTCCATGTAAATTTGCTTACTGAAACCTTTTGGGCAAATCTTAATGTGTTTTCAGAACTCAAAAAGTTCCTTAAAAGAACATTGAATAGTAACTTTCCTTTCTGCAATGTTAGTTTCCTTTGTCTCTTTATGAGCATGGTGCCCAAGCAGGCAGCTCTAGAAAAAAACATGCTCTATTTAGCTCCCTCTTTCCGGCACCCCAGAGCTGTTTAGATTAAACTTGAATTATAGACCTCATTAGTTTCTTCTAACCCACACAATAAACGCAGCCTTCATACCATCGTTAAATAATACTTGGAATATTGACCTCATTAATGACATTAACTGCAAATTGAAATAACGGCCTCATTAGTGGCGTTTAATAGGTGTTTGTGACACACAAGGCTTCGATCTAGTAAAGGCCAAGCTAGTACTGTACTACTTCTAGCAAGTAGGATGATTTTTTTGTCTGTGTCGAGACAGGGTACCCTTCCACGACTTTCACAAAGATTACTTTGAAAATAGATGTGTTTTTGATGAATACATAGATTACTGTAAGATCCGATACTTTTTTTTGTGTGTGAAATTCATGTGATTTTGCATGTGGCTCAGCTTTGTGAATCAGTATTATCTCTAAATAGGGCAGATCAAAGATTCTTTAAAAAATTGGGGGGGGGGGGGGGTGGATAATCTATTGACAAGAAAAGAAAAGTAATTTCATTGTGCAGATGCAATTTACACTGAAAATATCTTAACCTGGAAAAAATAGGGGGCACATTATTTTTATAATTACTTAAGGTATCCCAGGCCGATTTTTAAAATGGGTCAACAGATCAATTGTGCCCCCCCCCCCCCAGAAAAATCCACCACTGCCCCCTAACCAATGAAGATGGTTATGTATTTAAATTACCCTAACATGTGCTCTATCTCTTCATCTTCAACAAAACATGAAACTGTTTCTCATCACTTCCATTTCTCCTCATATGTCCCTCTCGGTCTCGTCTTCGGTCGGTCGTCTCCGGAGCTATAGAGACTATTGCATAATGGAATTAGTTTGTCAGCCCTGGGTGCGACAGTGTTTATTAATCCGGGCATGCCTGAGATGATTGCGATTAAAGAGCGAGGCTTCTCAGTTTGCTCGCCTAATTGCAGGTATTTTCTTAACATTTCAAGATGATAAAGCAGAGGCCCGGCTTTCGCCCACGATGTCTCGTACGCTTTTCTATGGAGCTGTAGCATCATCTGTTTGCACAGGTTTTCATTTGCTATGATGCTTTATGAATGCATTAAAGTGTGCTGTAATGTTCTAGATTTGTAAACTAGAGCTCATGAAATTGTCAACTTTTGAACATATCAATGAAAAGAAAAGAGGTGTTATTAAATGATATGTAAATGAATGCTTTTCCCTTCAGAAACACTGATAAATTTTCTCAGGTTTTTGCCTGATCATTTTACAAATGAAGTAAAGTTTATTTCAATAATCTAGATCTGAAATCTGAGCCCCTGAGGTTGACAGCTCTCGAACATTTGTATGGAAATAATATATCACACTGACTTTTAAGTAGAAAAGAAAAATGATCTTGAGATGGATTTCTTAACTGGTCAAACATGTACCTCAATGAGACACAGAATTTCTCAATCGGTATTCATAAATTGTATCATGCTCCTTTGGATATTAAACTAATGTGTACCTTCATTTTAATGCATGAATTTAGTGATTGGCTTAAATTATTATTTGATTCTAATTGAAGCTGATGTTGCAGAGATCTAAGAAAACACACAAACCTTCTGGCTACTTCCAGCTTCAAATCCTATCAATAGGACTAAGAAGAGAATTAATTCATTAGGATTAGACTTGAACCAGGAATACCCTATTTGAAAGGTCAGTGTTAACCCCCTCCCTCTGTCCCCCGAGCCAAACTGTATATATATATATCAAACATTTTGATTTATTTTCATATGTCAAATCAACAACTATCACCTTTTAAGTAGGTGCTGACTGTAATGCGAAAGAAAGAAAGTTATCATAGAGCCCACGCAGTTGACTTTATCTATCCAAAGGTCAAGTTCCCTATTGGAATCACATGTGATAATTTCTTTGATATCTTGCCTGTAAGGATTTAATCTGCGTTCTAATTTGCAAGGGAAGGAAGATAGAAGATAAAAATATAATTGAGGGGGAGACGAGGAGGCCTTCTCCGTTAGTATTTGATTTGTGCACAATTGTTTTAATGAGTAAGATTCATATCAAAATGTTTATATTGCATGCAATAATTGAAGAAAAGATATATAGATAGTGATATTAATTCTTGTTAGCTATTTTGAAGCTCTCTTTAAAATACAAAAGTATATTTTATTGTAAATTTGTTTGCAAATTTCTTGACGAAAGGGCAATTAATTATTTTTGCCAAACATTTTGTTTTTGATTCCCTTAACCATTTGAATGTACTTGTGGGCAGAAAATGGAAACAAATCTTTTATTGCTTGGTAATCCATCTTGTTTTTCCATTGAGAATGGGGTTTGCATATTGGTTCCGGTACATGCACAAATATCTCCTTTTTATTTTGAATTCTTACGTAGCTCGGTGTGTACATAGGCTACTCTGTAGGTTAATTACTTCCAAAAGCAATTATCTCAAGTTCGGCCTGTAAGAGTCATTCAACTTTGGGTTGCCAATTTGCCCATCATTCACTGAATCGCGTCTGCAGTGATGAAGCTGTCATAATCATTTGCCGGAAAAGTGACAGGTTTTTTTTTCTTCTCCCTGACCTTCTATCGATATCTACCTGACCAATATGATCTCTGCCATGCATACCTATCTAGAGCATCCAAATCACCCAAAGACAAACTCACTTGTTCACCCCGCTCCCCCGATCCTCCAGTCGCCCAGTTCGTGTTGGGCCCCCGGAGACATAAGCGATCTGAATTGGAGGTGACTCCGGGAAAGATCAGAAGTGTGAGGTTAAAGGAATAGAGAGGTGGAGAAAAAGGAAAGAGAAAAAGAAAGGATACCTATCAAAAAGAAAGGAAGATGTCATCTATTTGGAGCCAGAAGGGCATTGACTCATATCGTTTTACAAAGAGTTTATGCCTTTTTGGCTCTGAACAGACATCTATAGTAGATGTTGAAATAGCACTAATAAGTGAGGCCATTTCTGACCAGGCAGAAAAATGCAAACAGAGGCACAGACAGAAAATGACTGTAAATGACAAGAAATGCATTTCACAGTTGTCACTTTTCTTTGAACACATCTAAACATCATAGGCTTAATTTGATATGTGCATTATCTAAACTGTTAATGATGATAGGTTATTGCTAATATTAAATAATGATGGCTACTAATATAACTCTAATATCAATCAGGCTGTGATACCCATGGATTTTAGACGTTATTACTCCAGTTATAGCTGAGCCTCCAAAGTGAATAGCGTTCAAGCATATATCACATACTCATATCCACCTGGGTGGAGAGTGGCAAATGTTGATTGATCTGTTGCCAAAAGACATTAGTGCCAGGCTGGGATTCAAACCCTATGCCTTGTACTCTTCAGTCAGTAGACTTATGCACTAGACCACAATACCTCGGTATTTCTTCTCTCTTAAAGATTGCACAATTCTAAAAGAATGAAACAATCAACAAAAACTTGCATTAGCACCCTTTTGCCAGGCATCTAACAAAAAAAATCTGTGCGTGCTATTGACCACAGGGAAAACCAGCTGCAGGTAACGAATTAGTCGCTGATGCCGTCGCGTCGCTGAATTAAAGATACCGTGATGATCACGGGAGATTCCTCCTTCAGACGTCATAACGTCCATGGCCTGTGGTGTGTTTCCGATGATGATACTGGTCATTTGCCCCCCTTCAGACCAGAGAAATTATTGTATGAATTTTTTTAAAGGATATAAGTATATGATAAGTAATATGTTGTTATCATCTGAACATTGTGTAATGCACCGATGTAGGGCATAACAAAAGCTTAAGCATTAGTTTGAATAAAATCTCCGTTATAGAATCAGGGTCCATCACCTTTGTGAATATCATGTCAAAAGAAGTCTGTAAAATAAACTAAACAGGGATTTTCATGAGCATAAACTATTATGACATATATTGGGTGTCACGTTGTACTCTTTAGCAATGCCCATGACATGAGTTGAAATAAAATTAATGCTCCCCCCCCCCCCCAAAAAAAAAAAACTTATTTCTTTTCGACATAACATCCTTATCCCGTGTGTAAGCCCCTTTCACTGTAAAATGATTCTTTATGTGGTGTTTCTGTTTATGACTTTCTTA